CCTGCTCCCCCCGTTCCGCCCCATGTCGAAGCGCCGACCAAGAAGACACCGACCAGCACTCCTAGCTCCCGGCTTGGCGGCCTGCCAGAAGCCCCTTGGAGAGAGCCCGCCTCGTGCTACGGCCCGAGCGCTGCAGGGCCTGAGAGGCCACGGCCTCACGCGCGCGCCCTGCCCCGACGTGGGCACGGGCACGCGCGGGCGCCGCGCCGCGCGAGCCTGCGCGGGGTACAGCCTTTGTCATGTTCAAACTCCTCACTACTACCCTCCCCCTCACTCAACCTCCACCTCCTCCTCCCCCTCACCACTATCCTCCTCCCCTCCTCCCCTCCTCTTCTCCCCTCCTCCCCTCCTCCCCTCCTAGGTCGCTTGTCGTGGTGCCCAACGTTGCGAAATCAGAGAGCGTTCAAGATTGCCAGCATGGCTTGCCAAGGCACCGTGTTCGGCTTCAGCTTCTGGGCCGAATCTTGCGCACATGCCCAGGACCCCACATCAAACAGAGGTTTGGAGGACATTGTTCTTTGCGCTGCATCTTCGGGGGGGTTTCGCCCTTCATGTAGATTGTTGTTTTTCTGACATGCGAATCGTGGTCGGCGCTGATGCCGTCGTCGCGGATTCGACGTGGATTCGACGTAGGTTCGGCGCGCTCGACACGGATTTGATGCGGATTCGGCGCGCTCGACACGGCTTCGACGCGGATTCGACGCAGGCCCTCCCAAGATGCAATACACTGCTTCTGCGCCTCGTTCGCTCGCTCGCTCACCGCCGATGCAGGCCGCGTCCCGAGGGGTATCGGGCGTCGAGCAGCGCCGCTTTAGCGTCGACTCGCGTCGACTAGCGTCGGCTCTCGCAAGAGCCAGCAAGGTGACATGGGAAGCTCCCGTGCCCAGACCCCCGACGTTGTGCTTTTTTTCACGCCGTCGACCCCTAGAGGTCTGGACCCCTTCCCAGGGACTGGTTCTTCATCCTGCGCCGTTTTTTGACGGTCCCGGGGCCCGTTGAGGGCCCCCGGAAACCGAAAATACCGAACAACTTCCCGTCGCGATTTTGTCACCACGCAAGGGGGTCGGGGTGAATTGCTGTCGGGCGACGAAATCTGTACATATCCACTGCTCCCTGGCCAGGCCCGTCCTGCCGGGAGCTGTGCAGTTACGCCCTCCTGGCCATGCCAGGAGGGCGTGGCGTCGACACCCCTGCCGGGCTCAGGACGAGCCTGGCCAGGGAGCCGTGGAGATGCACAGAGCCGCAACGACATACCATACAAGATGGGTATACGATATGCTCGGGTCGGACGCGCGCCTCGAAGGAGGACATACAGTACTAGTATGTCTCTGTGCGTGCGCTGCTGCCCCGCCGCCCCGGCGCCCCTCCCGCCGCGGCCTGGCCCTGCTCTGAGCGGGCCCGGCTTCTCCTCCCTCCCGCCCGCGCCAGGCCTCCCCCTCCTCCCCACGTGCATCGCGGCCTGATTCGCATCTGTATGCCCATACAGATGCTCATCCCTCCCGCGCAGCCACTCTGCCCAGCCGCCGACGCCAAAAGTATGCCCCTGTGCGTCACAGGAGTTGCTGCAGATGATGGGCCCGTTTTCCACCACCACCACCACCATAAGGTGGAGGCGGGAAGGAGGCGGAGGAGGAGGAGGAGGACGACGAAGAGGAGGCGGAGGAGGCGGAGGAGGAGGAGGAGGAGGAGGAGGCGGAGGAGGCGGAGGCGGAGGAGGAGGAGGAGGAGGAGGAGGAGGAGGAGGACGAGGAGGAGGAGGAGGAGGAGGAGGAGGAGGAGGAGGACCCCCTCCCCCTCCAACTTATGCTGGTGGTGATGGAAAACGGGCCCAGCAGCAGAACGCTTCGCCGCACGGGGCTCCACCGGCGCCTCGCCGGCTCGCTCGCCCGCCACCGGCAGGGCGCTCGCCACGCGGCGGCTCGAGGGCGCGCCGCGGCCGCCCCCGGGGCCGCCCCGCCCGCCCCCGCGGCCCCCGCCGCGCGCACCAGTCGGGGGCCGCCAAGGGTGCCCCTGGCCCAGGGTTCCATCGGGGGCAGCGATAGGGGGGGGCATGGGCACGGGGGGGGGGGGGGACGCATCGAGCCCCAATCGCCCATTGGTCGCCGACAGGGGCCCGATAGCCCCAACCCGCCCAGGAGGGTGCGGACTCACTGTCGGGGGCCCATCGCCGATCTACCGGCGATGTATCGCCGATCCCAGGTCGATGCATCCCCCCCTATGCCTATCCCCCCCACTATCGTTGCCCCTCATTCAAGTCGGGCATGTCCCTCTACAGGAGGAATCTATTTCAATGTAGAAAAAATAGTCTCGGGGCGATGTTTCGATGATTTTTGATTATTTTTGATTATTTTTTTTTGGGTGTGATTTTTCCTCCAAATCCGCCCGTAGGAGGACACGCCCGACCTGGCCCAAGTTGCCCCCAGCTCGTCGCTCGATTCTGGTGCCTTGTGGGCCCTCTGGGCCCCGCGAGGGGCGCTCTGGAGGCCCTTGGGACCCCGTTCGAAGTCCTGGGGGCACCTTGGGCCAGGGGCACTTCCAGCAGCACCCGAGCCATGGCCGCGCGGCCAGTGCGCCCGCGGGAGCCCCGCGGAGAAGCCTGGCTGCGCCCAGCGGCCCGGAGCTAAAGGCAGACCCCCTCGCTCTGTTCTGGTCGGAAACATATACATGACCAGTCAGGAGGGGAAAAATCACACAGACACAACTGATCGTCGATTGCACAAGAATATGGGAACATGAGAAGTGGGGGGAAGAGCAAAGCCCAGACGATATGTGAAAATGTGAGGGATCATGGGATTTCTGTGTACCTATACGACCACACTGCGGGTGATAAGGAGGTCAGGGGGGAGGGGGAACCAACGTCTCACTCAATCGATCTCGCTATCGATCTCACAATCGGTCTCACATTCGATCTCACTATCGATGTCACTATCGATCTCGCTATCGATCTCACTATCGATCTCACAATCGATCTCACAATCGATCTCACATTCGGTCTCACATTCGGTCTCACTGTCGATCTCACTATCTATCTCACAATCGATCTCACAGTCGATCTCACAATCGATCTCACGACGACGACGACGAGCAACATCGTCATCATCAACATCATCATCATCATCATTATCATCATCGGGACACCATCATCATCACCATCATCAATCATCATCATCATCATCACCATCATAGTCATCATCATCGGAACACCATAATCATCATCAACATCATCATCATCAACACCATCATCATCGGGACACCATCATCATCATCATCATCATCATCATCTCATCATCATCCTCAACATCGTCATCATCATCATCATAATCATCATCATCATCATCGGGACACCATCATCGGCATCATCATCATCATCAACATAATAATCATCATCATCATCATCATCACCACCATCGGGACACCATCATCATCATCATCATCATCATCATCATCGACATCATCATCATCATCATCACGTCATCATCATCATCATCATCATCATCATCATCATCATCATCATCATCATCACCATCATCATCATCATCATCATCATCATCATCATCATCATCATCATCATCATCATCATCATCATCATCATCATCGGGACATCATCATCATCAGCATCATCAACGTCATCATCATCATCATCACCATCATCACCATCATCACCATCATCATCTCACAATCGATCTGACTATCGATCTCACAATCGATCTCACCATCGATCTCACAATCGATCTCACATTCGGTCTCACTATCGATATCACAATCGATCTCACAATCGACGTCATCATCATCATCATCATCATCATCATCATCATCATCATCATCAACATCAACATCATCATCATCATCATCATCATCATCATCATCATCATCATCATCATCATCGCCATCATCAACATCATCATCATCACCATCATCATCACCATCATCATCGTAATGATCATCATAATCATCATAAACATCATCATCGGGACACCGACGGGACACCGACGAGACACCGGCGGGACACCGGCGGGACACCGCGGGCCACCGGCCGCCCGGAATGGAGTCATTTGGTCCGGCCGCGCCTCAGCCACACGGGACACCAGCGGGACACCGGCGGGACACCGCGGGCCACCGGCCGCCCGGAAGGAGACATTTGGTCCGGCCGCGCCTCAGCCACAGGAGACTTTCTCTCGTCCGCCCACGCAGCTTCGCCTCGCCCGCACGCACGGCACGCACGAACACGAAACCGAAATCGATTTCCCGGTAGGGGGGCTCTCCGTTCCACTTCGATCTCACCCCCTCACCTCCGATTTATTGTAGTGGCCTTCGGCCAGTGCCGCCGATCCGGGGCGCTCCGACTGATGTGATCCTTCTTCGCCCTCGTCCCTCCTCTCGTTTTCCTTCCCCTCCTCTCACTCAGCATTTATCCTGTGGCCGTCGGCCTATCCCGCCACCGTGCGTGGGTGGTGGGTCAGAGGCCTCATGGATGCTGGTTGGGATCTCGTGGTTGGCTGGGACTTCTGGGGGCCTCTTGGGCGCCTCTTGGGGCTTCTTGGGGGCCTCTTGGGCCTCTTGGGGCCACTAGAGGGCCTCTTGGGGGTCTCTTGGGAGCCTCTTGGGGCTTCTTGGGGGCCTCTTCTGCGCCCCTTGGGGCCTCTTGGAGGCCTCCTCGGAGCCTCTTGGTGCGGGAGGGGTGGTACTCGAGTTCGGAACCCCCTCGGAGGCCACGATCCTTGTGAGGGGTGTCAAAAAACGCATCCGCCGGAAACTCGCACCCCCCCCCCCACCCCCCCTTCCCCGGCAGAGCCACCCCGGCAACCCCCCCAGAGGCTGAGGCTCAGCCTCGAGGCTGTAGCTGAGACTCCTTGAAACTCACACGCCGGATCGGCGGATTTGTGAGTCCCTGGGCCCCGTCAACCAGTGGCGGGCTGTTTTTCAATCCCAGGACTTCTTGAGGGTCGGCGACAACGTCGGGGAGGTGTGGTACATACTTTTTGTCTCCGTTTCCCTGGGGCACTGCGAGACATGTATACACCAGGATCCCGTGAACTCCAGGATGCGCTTTCCTGTGCAAGTGTCAGTGCAGTGCCGGAAAAAGCGTCGGTGTATAGAGTTCGTTTCCCTGCCTAGGTCTTCCAGGTGGGATCGGATGTGGAGCCCGATCTTCTCCATCCCGCCGTCGCCGATGCATCGCCGACGTTGCCGATGCATCGGCGATGCATCGGCGATGCATCGGCGATTGCGTGCAATCTTCCGACCCCGTGTTCTCGGACCCCATCTGGGAGGCCTCTGCTCGCGTTGTGCAAACACACGGCGGGCTGTTCTTCGCCATGCTTGGCCTCCAGGTGACCCCGCGCGGCCTCGGGACCGTTAAAAAACGGCTCAGGATGAACAACCGGTCCTGGAGATTTGGCATCGCTCGGACGTGTGCATTTTTTTCTCGGCGAGAACCATCGAGGACCATCCTGGACCATCGAGCAAAACAAAAACACGCACGAAACCGAAACATGCACAGGAAATGGACGTCCGAGCGATGGCAAGGGAGAAGGGGGTCGAGACCTCGGGGGGTCGACCCTGGGGTGAGCCAGCCGGGGAGGCGCCGGTGCAGCCCCGTGCGGCGGAGCGTTCTGCAGCGCGTCACCCCGACCCCCTCGCGTTGGGAGCAGAGCCGCGGCGGGAGGTGCTTCGCTGTGTTTGGTGCGCGGCCCGCTTAGCTTCGACCGGAAGAGGTGCGCTCTCGACCCGCGGATCAAACAAGTTTCGCTGTGGTTCGGCCTCCGGGGTCCCTCACTGGGCCTCGGGGCCGTCGACAAGACGGGCTCGGGATGAGAACCTTGTGGCAGGCCACGAGCCGCTCGGGGGACGAGGGCGCCAGCCACGCGGCATCCTGAGTGCTGCTGCAGAGACCCTCGGCCACAGCGTCAACTCATGGACTTAACAATGATGAAACCAGTTTTTTCGGCCGCAGCTTTCAGCAGCAGGCGTCCTGATGATCGCCACGAGGCGTGAAGGCGCCCCGTCATGGTTCAGACCGCTTCCGTGCCGCTGACGATGCGATGCGATGAACACGGGGAGGAGGGGGTGAAGAAAAGGGCCCCTCCCTCCCTCCCTCCCTCCCCCCCTCCCTCCCTCCCTCCCTCACTGCCCCCTCTTGGAGCCAGCAGGGGTCCAAAAAAGGGGCCCCAACGCAGAGACGTCCTCAAACAAATTTGGCGGTCCGGGCCGTTTCGCCTGAGGCATCCTCGCAACTCTCGTTTCTGAGTTGTCCGGGATTGGGCGTTTCGCGTGAGACATCCTCCAAATTCTGAGTTCCCAGATGCCGCGCAAGAGGTGGTCTGGCCCGTTTTGCTTGAGACATCCTCGAAACTCTGAGCTCCCAGATGCCGCTCGAGATGCCGCTCGAGAGGTGGTCCGGCCCGTTTCGCCTGAGACATCCTCCAAACTCTGAGCTCCCAGATGGCTGCGCGAGAGGTGGTCGGCCCGTTTCGCCTGAGACATCCTCCAAACTCTGAGCTCTGAGATGCCGTAAGCGAGGTGGTCCGGCGCGTTTTGCCTGAGACATCCTCGCAACTCTGAGTTCTGAAATGCCGCGCAAGAGGTGGTCCAGCCCGTTTCGCCTGAGACAAAGTCTGGGCTCCGAGATGCCGCGCAAGAGGTGGTCCGGCCCGTTTCGCCTGAGACATTCTCCAAATTCTGAGCCCTGATATGCCGTGCGCGAGGTGGTCTGGCCCGTTTTGCTTGAGACATCCTCGCAACTCGGAGCTCTCTGATACCGTGCGAGAGGTGGTCCAGCTCGTTTCGCCTGAGACATCCTCCAAACTCTGAGTCCCGAGATGTCGCCCAAGAGGAGGTCTGGTCCTTTTCACTTGAGACATCCTCGCACTTTTGCATTCCGAGATGCCGCGCGAGAGGTGGTCCGGCCCGTGTCGTTTGAGACGTCCTCGAAATTCTGAGCTCTGAGATGCCGCGCGCGAGCTGATCTGGCCCTTTTCGCTTGAGACTTCCTCCAAACTATGAGCTCTGAGCTGCCGCGCAAGAGGTGGTCCAGCCCATTTCGCCTGAGACATCCTCGCAACTCTGACCTCGGAGATGCCGCGCGCGACGTGGTCCAGCCCGTTTCGCCTGAGACGTCCTCGCAACTCTGGGCTGTGAGATGCCCTGCGCGAGGTGGTCCGGCCTGTCTCGCCTGAGACATCCTCCAAACTCTGAGATGCCGTGCGCAAGGTGGTCCGGCCCGTTTCGCACAAGACATCCTCGCAACTCTGAGCTCCCAGATGCCGCGCAAGAGGTGGTCAGCCTGGGGGCCCAGAAGACCACATGTTACATATCCCCCCTGGGACCCTGGGAGCCCCAGGAGGCCCCAGAGAGCTTCAGGAGGCCGCAGGACGCCCCCCAGGAGATTCCCTTGAGGCTCCCAGGAGGCCCCAGGAGGCCCCTATCAGAACGTGTCAAGTTAATACGCATCCGGTGTCAATTCGTTGGTTTTTACTGCTCTTGTGGCCCCCCCATTTTGGGGGGCCCAGACGGCCACCTGTTAGATATCCCCCCCCGGGAGCCCCAAGAGGTTTCAGGAAGCCCCAGGTGGGGTCCAGGAGGCCACAGGAGGCCCAGGAGGAAGCCCCAGGAGGTCCCCAGGAGGCCCCAGGAGGCCCCCGCAACTCGGAGCTCTGAGACGCCGCGCTCGAGGTGGTCCGGCCCGTTTCGCCTGAGATTTCCTCGCAGCACGTTTCGCCCGAGACATCGTCGCAACTCTGGGGTACGAGATGGCGCGCGCGAGGCCGCACTGGCATGTTATCATGTTCTAACATGCCCGCGCGAGGCCGCAAGTCTGGTCATGTATCATGTTCTAACATGCCATGCCAGCCCGCACTGGACGAGCACGCAATCGACCTTGGAAACCGCAGTGGGTTTAAAAACCCTGTTTGGGGATACTGCACTCCGGCTATAATTTTTCCCCCTCCTAAATCCCCCTCTAGGAGGACGGGCGCGACTTAACTCTAGGCCTCCTAGATGGGGTCGGAGTACACCTTAGGCGATGCTTAAGACAACTTAAGTTTTCGGCCAGAGTCTCGACTATTCTTGCTGTTTCAATGTAAATCCTAAGATTTTAATAGAAATGTTTGGTTTTTATTCAAGTTCTGAGACTGTGAATATCTTAACCCATGATTTCTTAAGCATTTCGCAGGGTGTAGATGAGGTCGGAGGGTCGCGCCGCATCGCTGATGCATCGGAGATGCGGCTCGATATGGGCCCAATTTTCTCCACGCCGACTTCGCCGATGCGTCGCCGACGTCGCCAGTGCATCGCCGATGCGGCGCGATCCCCCGACCCTATCTACTCCGACCCCATCTAGGAGGCCTCTGTATATTTGCTGCCCCCTGGCCAGGCCCATCCTGAGCCCAGGAGCTGTGTGTACGCCCTCCTGGCCAAGCCACGAGGGCGTGGCGTATGCACCGTTGCTGGGTTCAGGATGGGCCCGGCCAGTGAGCAGCGGATATGCATAGATGGCGTCGCCCCACGATATGGGCCCGATAATCCCCTTGCGCCCAAGAGCGTGTGGTTTGGCCAGGGGCCAATGGCCGATTTATTGGCGATGCACCGTCGGACCGAGGTAGAAGATTGAGGTCGGTTCGGGGAGGGCAGCCCGATGTTCTTCGTGTTTGTTGGACGTTCTTGTGAATTCTGGGGGAGGGTGCCCTCGAATCTTCGTCAGTTTGGCTGGCGGAGGGTCTCATGTTCTCGAAGGATGTTCTTCTGTCCTAGGTCTGGCTGTATCGCTGCGTTCAGGTCGACTTTCATCCCTGCGCTGACTCGGGGAAACGTAAAACCCGCGTTCGCCAGAACTTGGGCTGACCGACGCTTTTGACGGGCCCACTCTGACTTTGGACGGTCCAGTTTTTGTGTGATGTTTGCAGCAGGAGCTCGCGTGAAATTTCAGATTGTGTCTTGTCATTTTTCTGACAGCCTCGTCAGGCCAACTCGAGTCCTCCAAACTCGAGTCTTACATCTACCGGACTGAAGGTCAGAGGAAGAAGAGATGCCGATGTCGCTGCTCGTCCTGTAGAGCCCTCGCCACCACGGATGCACTCGTCGAGGCTCCATTCAGAACGCACTCTGATAGATCCAGGGATGATCCGTATCGGCGCCTTTGTTGGTCCCCCCAGAACTCAGGAGGGGAAAAAACACACACACACACAGACACAATTAATCGCCGACTCCCAGGAAAATATGTGAAAATATGGGAAGTGGGGGGGAAGACAGAAACCCAGAACATATGGGAAAATATAGGGAATATTTTTACCTCCAAGAACGTGCCCCCTCGGATCCGGGCATTCTTTTTCCACACGGGGCGTCTTGTCGCTCCGTCTGGGGACCCGTGGGCCCTCACGGGCCGAGCCGACCCGAAGCGTGCCTCCGAAGAAGAAGGTCTCGGGCTGCGGGCGTGTTTTCCTGTGAGGATGGGGGAGGAGGAGGAGGAGGAGGAGAAGGAGGAGGAGGAGGAGGAGGAGGAGGAGGAGGAGGAGGAGGAGGAGGGGGAGGACGTTCCCTGAGACCCGAAGTTGTGAAACAGCTGCATCAGTGCGAGAAACTCCGACCCGAGCCCCAGATCGCACCCTTCTGCGGCATTTTTCGGGCCGGATCGGCCTGTGACGGCCCCCGGGGCCTGAAACATCGGGCGGAAGCGCCCTGTGTGAAAAGGTTTCAGCATTCAGATCTCAGGGGTGCAACTTTTTCACGACGTCGGATCTCCCGAGTGGGGGATGGACAACAGATCTGATTTGCCCCAAACATGGCTTTCCCGTCGAACCTACGGAAAGCGCGTCGAGGGCTCCGTAGATCTGTGGAGCATCCAGTGTTTTTTTCGGTGGGCTCGACGGAAGAATCGAAATTGGGGTGCGTCAGTTCTGCAGGCGATCCCCGGCTCAAATTGTGCAAACTAGGGAGGCGAGGAGTACAGTGGAAACCCATGCTAAGAAACACCCTGCTTGCCTCCAGGGTGCCCTGGGCTTCTTGGGTATCGATGGTTCTGCTATGGGCAGCGCGACGTTCCCACACCAGAAACCAATGGACGTCCTGGTGTTCCATGGTTGGCTTCCTTGTGGAAGGTTTCTTGTGGTCGAGCTCCTACTGTAGCAGAAGCAGGTGCGGACGCAAGGGGGGGGCGGAGGCGGGGAGGGCATCGACGAGGCAGGCAGCGGCGAGGAAGGCATTCGCCAGGAGGGCATGGAGCGCGCGACTGCTGCGATGAGGAAGGCATCGCATGCTAAAACGGCTGCAAAACGACGAGGCATAGGAAGGCGACAGCAACGACGAGGAAGGCACCGAATGCCAAAACGTTGTCCCTACTCGAGTCTCGGGGGTGCGCCATCGGCGTCACCCCAACATACTCATGCTATATGTGCGTCGCTCCACCAGGGGCGACGCGCGCACCGAGAAATCTTGCAGTATCTTCTTCGTGGCGGGCGGTTTCTTGCCACACACACACACCGCTCGGGGAACGATACACTACAAGATGGGTATACGCGTTGTTTGGATATAGACATACACTACACGATACTCACATAAACGACATACAAAACTATTGATACAGCTATACATGCATCACCATACAGTTATACATGTATATATGCATACTCGCATGCATGCATGTGTACGTATGTATGTATGTATGCATGTATGTATGTATGTATGTATGTATGCATGTATGCATGCATGCATGCATGCATGCATGCATGTATATATATATATATATATATATACTCATGCATGCATGCACGTATGTATGTTTGCATGTATGCATGCATGTACGTATGTACACATGTGTATGTATGTATGCATGTATGTATGCATGCATGCATGTTTGTATGTATGTATGCATGCATGCATGTATGTATGTATGCATGTATGCATGTATGTATGTATGTATGTATGTACGTATGCATGTATGTATGCATGCATGTACGCATGTATGCATGTACGTATGTATGTATGCATGCATGCATGCATTTATGTATGTATGTATGCATGCATGCACGTATGTATGGATGCATGTATGCATACATGCATGCATGCATGTCTGCATGCATTTCTGTATGTGTATGTATGCATGCATGCACGCACGTATGTATATATGTATGTATGCATGTATGCATGTATCTATATATTATGCATACTTGCATGCATGCATGCATGTCTGTCTGTCTGTCTGTCTGTCTGTTTGTCTGTCTGCCTGTCTGTCTGTCTGTCTGTATGTATGTATGTATGTATGTATGTATGTATGTATGTATGTATGTATATATACATGTATATATATATATATATATATATATGTATGTATGTATGTATGTATGTATGTATGTATGTATGTATGTATGTATGTATGTATGTATGTGTACTCATTTTTCACAACATCTATGTTATGTATACATGCATGTCTATCCCAGGGGGCGAGGTCCCCTGACCGCGCCCACGGACCTCCTCGTGGCATGGGTGGACCGGGCCTCCGGGGACGCCCCCAGACGGCCCAAGGCAGACCCGAAACGTGTTGAAAGGGCCCCAAGAGGCTTCTAGGACGGTCCAATGGAGCCCAGAGTCACTTAAACACCGCCCCAAAACGCCCAAGATGGCCCCGAAGCGGTCCAAGAACGCTCCAAAACGCTTCAAGAGACTCCAACTGGCTTGCCAAAATGCTCCCAAGAGGGCAACATCTTTAAATTCCAGAGGGGAAACGTACATTTTGGGCAAAAACATTGTTTCGCGTCTCCGACGCTCCAAAACAGCCCAAGAAGCCCCGAAGACCGCCTTAACGCAGCCCGTGAGGGCCCCAAGAGGCCCCAAGACAGCCCAAGAGGGCCCCAAGACGGCGCCAGAGGCGCCCAAGACGGCCAGAAAGGGCCCGAATACGGCCCCAAGAGGGGGCCAAGAGGGGTGACACGGACAGAACGAGCCTTCCGCCCGAAGGCGCCCCTAGGAGACCCCAAGAGGCCCCCCGAAAGGCCCCCAAGATGCCTTGAGAGGCCACTAAACGATATGTATGTGTGTGTGTATATATATATATATATATATAGATACACACATACGTACCAAACGATATACTACACGTTCGGGTCGGACGCGCGCCTCCAAGGGGAACATTAGTACTAGCACGTCTTTGCCCGTCCCACGCCAGGGCGCGCCGGCGCACGCCTGGCGCGGCATGGCGCAGACGGGGCCGTTGCCCTCGGAGAGGCGCCGCCCGGCCGCTGGCCAGGCTGCTCGGCAGCGCTGGTCGCCCGGCGAGGCGGAGCCCTGCAGGCCGCCGAACCCACTTGTGGTCATCGACGCCCTGTCGCGCATGCGCCTCTTCGCGGGCTGCGCCGAGGATGAGCACGTATCGATGGAGCACAGTCAGCCCGCATAGCAAGGATGGGCGACCTTCCCAAGGGTACCCTTGCATCCGAGCCTCCGCGGTCCATCCTTGGACACAGTCGTGGGCCGCGCCCCGCTCGAAAAGCCTCGAAATGGGCGTCCAAGCCCTTGCATCCTTATCGTGCATCCTTACTATACGGGCCGAGGGTCAGAGAGAGAGACTTTCTCTGCAGGACCACCAAAGATGGGACGTCGAGGTGGTCGAACGCCTCGCTGGTGTTAGGCCGAGGGAGAGGTGTAAAATCCAACCATCTGCTTATGTCAAAAGTTTTGGCTTGAAGCCGTGTTTGGTGCATCAATTTCAGCTTGATCGAACAGGTTGGTTGCGCCCCTTGACGTCCGTTTGGGGTGTTCTGCAGACCTGACCTCCCAGCCCCACTCAACAGATCGAACAGAAAACGGCATACACGTCGGTCGTTGAAAGTAAATATTTCTGGATTCCCAGATCCCAATCTGCTTCGAGCGCCTTCCTACTTCAATCATCGATGGGCTTTATGATGTTTCGTTGCTCTCTGGGCGGGCCCGAACCCTATCTACTTTGTCTACCTTCCTACCTGATGTTTCTACCCACTTCTTCCGACCGACGGGTACAGATCGAACATAAATCGGCATAAGCATAAGCTTTCGGAGGTCCGCGTGGATTTCTTGGATCTGCGCTGGCCCCCCCCCCTCTGGCGGCGCCTGTGGCGCCGCCCCTGGCTCGCTCCGCCAGGGGGGTCCAGCGAAGATCCAAGAAGTCCGCGCGAGCCTCCAGAAGTTTATGTTTGTGCAGTATCTTCTTCCTCGACCATCCCCATCCCCAGCGGGCCACGGTATATCTCAGCCCCACCATCCCAACACCCCAGTTATTGGGGATAGGCCATTCGACATTTGGAAGGAGTAGCCTATGTCCCCATCAAGGGGGGCAAACCGGCAAGACAACCCCCCACTATATACTGCATGCTCGTTCGATGCTGCACCGTAGGCAGTTTGGCCCGAAGAGTCCCTAGGGGGCGAAACGCGTGTATGGATACAGTCAGGGGCTGGCTGACTACTTCAGCTCTTGATGATCAGCTTGCTGAGCTTGCCCACTTCCGCACTGGCAGGCCACAGAAGCATCTACTTATACCATAGTCCGCCAGATCATCAGCCCTGTCGTTTAGGAACACTCCTGTGTGAGACTCCACCTTCTGCCATGCTAGGTATTGGCCAAGCTCATGAACCAGGCGCCGAACATGTAGGGCTAAACGTCTGCGTGCTATGTTGTCCGCGTACTCCGAGTCATACTCGATGCAAGACAGTATAGACGACGTATAACATGACGATATACGGATACTATCGCGTGTGAACAACAAGGCGTAATACATGGCGCTCAGCTCACCGACGTTGTTCGAGTGCCTGCTCGCACCAATGAAGCAAGGATCATATTCAGCAAGGACGGTGGGCCCGCAGGAGTCCAGCAACGGAGCCGCACCGGGCAATGATACAGTGGAGCCCCAGCCCGAAACCTCCTCACCGTCCACGCTCTCGGAGGAGCCGTCGCACGACACGACAATCCCAGCAGGGCGCTGAACATCAGGAGGGGCTGGTTCCGCAGGCAGAGAGGGCTCGCGGTGAGCGCCCTGAGGGCTGAGGTCCGAGCCTGGGCTTGATCCTCTGCAGCCGTGGACGAGCTGACCGGTAGAGCCCCTGCAGGGGCCGCGACCGCGGCAGCGCCAGATCAAGAAGCACTGGCCGCCCGCTGCGACGGTCCACCAGGACCTGCGTGGCGACAGCGTTCGCTCGAAATACGAGGGGATAGCAACGGCGTGGTCAAGTGCCACCGCCGGAACACCGTGGTAGGCCGCCAGGATCCGACCGCATCAAGCCAACCAAGGAGGAAGATGCCCTGGCCGTACTTCAGCAGGCACCACTTCGCGCGAGGTTCGCTGCTCTCGATCCAGAACACAGGATTAGCTGAACCTGTGAGGTTTTTAGTTTTACACCGCCTTCCCCTTTCCCCTCGTCGCGGCGTATACCATTTTCCCGCTATTATTGGGCGGGCTAGATTTCCCCTTCCCTCAGGGAGTAATGCCCCTTGGGTTACCCTGCGCCAGCCCTGCTAAGGAGGAAGGGAAATTGAGGGTTTTCAAGTGTCGGACCCTGTGGGCGATACTCGTTCGACACTGTTTCGATACTTTTCTCGGTGCTCGAAATTATTTCTGGGATGTGGTCCGTAAGTGCGACTGGAGCAACATAATTCCAGAGACCTCTCCCCGTTGAACGCGATGCGCCGAGGACCACATAGACATGGTTGCGCAGAAGGCGGAGCGCAGGGTGCTGAAGCCGGGCGAGGAGCTGCACCTGGAGGACCCTCGTGGAGAGGAGGAGGAGGAGGAGGAGGAGGAGGAGGAGGAGGAGGAGGAGGAGGAGGAGGAGGAGGAGGAGGAGGAGGAGGAGGAGGAGGAGGAGGAGGAGGAGGAGGAGGAGGAGGAGGAGGAGGAGGAGGAGGAGGAGGAGGAGGAGGAGGAGGAGGAGGAGGAGGAGGAGGAGGAGGAGGAGGAGGAGGAGGAGGAGGAGGAGGAGGAGGAGGAGGAGGAGGAGGAGGAGGAGGAGGAGGAGGAGGAGGAGGAGGAGGAGGAGGAGGAGGAGGAGGAGGAGGAGGGAGGAGGAGGAGGAGGAGGAGGAGGAGGAGGAGGAGGAGGAGGAGGAGGAGGAGCCCCCCCTGAGGACGGGGGCCCGCTGGTCATCGTGGAGAGCGGCGCGGTCTCCGTCCGCGTGGGTGGCGGGGGCAGCTCCTCGGTGGTGTTCGGAGCGGGGGAGGCCTCTGGGGCGAAGGGGGCCGCCCTTGAGTCGGGTGTGTGCCTCTGCGGGGGGAATATTGGAGAATTGTCAAGAATACAGGCGGCCTTGATTGGACAGGACACGCAAGAGGACACAAGACCCTTCCGAGGACCACATTGCCACAGGAATGTAGGAAGCATGGATCGCGAGACACAGGACACAAGGGTACCCTTGATTTGGCAGGGTCGACCTACTAATCCGGGCCGCCTGTAGTCTGGGGACGTTTTTTTTGTATTCGTTCCATGTTTTTTGTTAGCATCTATACATATATGTATGTATGCATAAACAGATCTATTTTTCTTTCAAGATCCGCCTGTAGGAGGACATGCTGGACCTAAGACTACCCAGAGATCCGAGGCTCTGGCAAACGCTGGAGCGGCGGCCTCCAGGGGCCTTCGTCGGGCCCTGGGACAGTCAAGAGGGACTCGGGATGAAGAAAGCCGGCCCTGGGGAAGTTGTCCAGGCCTCCGGGGCCCGCGCACAACAAATTGGAGCGCTGGATGTTCGGGTATGCACATGTGCCAGCTTCTCTGGGCCCATTCTGGGCTCAGGGTCGGTGCATATGCCTCCCGGGCCAAACCGGGAGGGCGCATGCACCGATCCCGGGTTCCAGATTGCCCTGACCACGATCGGTGCTCGTGCATATTTCTCTTCTTTCTAAAAAATCTAGAGGCTCTCAACTTTGTGGGCCTACTGATGCTCAACTCCGAGGTGGAGCCTTTTCGGCCGATCAACCGTGGCAAGGGCGGCGCGCGCCCCGGTCCCGTCAAGGACGCCGGCGCGCTGGGCACTGGCGCTCGCAGGCCCGAGGCCACGAGCAGCATCGGGCGGGGCGCCTACCACCCCTACCCGGTGCAGAACGCGCCGTTCCTGTTCCAAGACTCCCGCCGGCGCAAGCGGGAGGCGACTCGTAGAAGCCGTGAGGCAGACCTTCCTGCTGGGCCTTCCTAGGCCCTCCCCGGGCCTACCTGGGCCTTCCTAGGCTTTCCTACCGAGGCCTACCTAGGCCTACCCTAGGCTACCCCACGGCTTCGATGGGGCCTACTCTAGGCTACCCCAGGGCCTTTTGGGTAGGGCCTTGGGTAGGGCCTGGAGTAGCCTGGGGCCCCGTGCTTTCTACGGAGGCGAAGATGCTGTCCTCCCTTGCGCGGGGCGAGGTCTCCCCGGACGACGCGCTCTGCTTCTACAACCTTTGCCCGAACGCCTCCGCGAGGGCTGCGCCGCCGCCTCTCAGTGGCTGGCTGCCCGTCACCGTCGCGGGCGCCCCGGGGGGCGCCGTGCCGCTGTGCCGCAGGCCCAGTGCCAAGGGGGGTCACCACCAGTCGAGTAGGGCATCGACTACCGAAGTGACTTGCCCCAGAATTGCCTCTTCGCCGAGTGTGCAACAATAGCGCAGAACCTTCCGCAGATCGTTCGGCCGATGCGACGAAAATGCAATCTTGGGGTAGATAAATTCTGTAGTCGATGCCCTAGTCGAGCCAGGGTCACCAGCTCCTCCTGCCAGTCGAGGCCCCAGGATTGAAGCTCGAGTTATGATGTTCCGACCTACTTTTAGACTTGATCACCAGATAGTCTTCCAAGCATCAGGAAAGCACCAACAGTGGAAGGCTTTTTCTCGGTCGGGCAAAGCAGCCGGAACCCTCCGAAAGCCCTTCTGGAAGGGTCTCTGGAGGCTTCTCGGAGGGCTTCGGGAGGGTTTCGGAAGGGTCTTCGTCGTTTTAGGGGGGCACCAGTCCCCAGCGATCTTACCTGAAGTACCATGGGAACGAAGGGGCGAGGAGGAGGGGGAGGGGGAGGGGGAGGGGGAGGAGGACAAGCTAGGTGCGCTCGCGTCATATCTGACGTCCGAGCCCTCCCTCCCATCCCTTACCATGGCGCTGATTTTCTCTATCCGCGGACGCGTGTCGTAGCGGACCTGTGGCTCCGCGCGCGCGTGCGTAGTGGGTGGTGGTGCACGTGCGTGCGTGCGTGCGTGTGTGCGTGGTTGTGGTGGTGGTGGTGGTGGTGGTGGTGGTGGTGGTGGTGGTGGTGGTGCTGGTGGTGGTGGTGGTGCTGGTGGTGGTGGTGGTGGTGATGGTGGTGGTGGTGGTGGTGGTGGTGGTGGTGGTGGTGGTGGTGGTGGTGGTGGTGGTGCGGCGCGGTGGTGGCGGGCGGATGGGCGCGCGAGAAAGAGGCCCGCGCTGGGGCGAGAACGCCATCCTGAACGACGGAGGCCAAACACCGATCCGAAAATGAGGTCTCAGCGAGAGCATCATTTTGAACAAAACGCAGGCGAAAACCCGTTTCCCGGGAATCCTGTGTGTAAAAAAACAATACGCGGGGGGCGTTCGGCCCGAAAATGACGCCGGCGCCTCAGCGAGAGTCGTTTCCCGGGATTTCCGGGAATCCTGTGTGTACGCGGATGCGCGGCCATCACCCGGACGCCATCAGGGGAAGAGGGAGTATTTTCATATCAAGCTAGGTGCGCTCGCGTCATATCTGACGTCCTACCCCTCCCCCCCATCCTTTACCATGGCGCTGATTTTCTCTATCCGCGGACGCGTGTCGTAGCGGACCTGTGGCTCCGCGCGCGCGTGCGTAGTGGGTGGTGGTGCACGTGCGTGCGTGCGTGCGTGTGTGCGTGGTTGTCGTGGTGGTGGTGGTGGTAGTGGTGGTGGTGGTGGTGGTGGTGATGGTGGTGGTGGTGGTGCTGGTGGTGGTGGTGGTGGTGCTGGTGGTGGTGGTACTGGTGCTGGTGGTGG